CCCAAAAAAAAAAGACTGCATAGAAAGTAAAGAAAAAATGCAGAACCTGCTTAAGCTAATGCAGTGGTTCCTGAACTTTTTTGTCTCGTAGACCCATTGCCATATTTTTCGGTTTCGGGTAGACCCCTTACTTACCTGATATTGATTTTTTGTAAATTCATCAACTTCAAATGTAAAGCTATTCACTGTGAAAGATTTAAATTTCTAACTGTAGTGAAGTGTTGTATGAAAATCCTAAGAAGAAAGATATGTTAATTTTATACATTTATTAATTAAATCCAAATTAATTTACCAATCCAATTAATTTACCGGAAACCAATTTACAGCGGAAAAATACTTTTTTGTTACAAAATAAAACCTTATACGCCGAGAAAATAAAAACGTACGCGGGTGTAGCTGCAGGCAACTGCTAGTTTATAATAATTCAGTTTCATATAGCAGAAAGTAACCCTAATAACTTAAATTTTAATGAAATGTTTACCTTCTAGATTCTTTTATAAATTATGTGGAATGTAGATAGATATATGTCTTTATATTATACGGAAGTACAATGTAAGTGAATAGGTACTATCAGTGTATGTTGATTATTCCATTCATGAAATGCCAAAATTAAAGTCACGACATTCTTATGTGAGAAACACTATCGTTTCCCCCCATTTTCATTTCACGGACCCCCAATTTTTCTTTCACTTGACAAGGACCCCTTGCAGGTTGTCGTCGACCCCTGGGGGTCAATATAGACCACTTTGGGAATCACTGAGCTAAAGTTATAAGCAGATGAATAATTATATATAAAAATAATATAAATTATTACCTCTTCAGTGATGCCTAAGACTTTAAAAAGTCCAATATCTCCAGCACCTATAAAAACCTGGTAGTTAGATTATCAAATTTCGGTCGTACATAGCCATCGTTCAAGAATGCAGTAACTACTGCACCTTCAAGAGAAGTTAGTGGCCTTGCAATTAAACCATACCATAAAATTAAGTAAGCACATATTATGGTTAGTTTAAAAGTCCAGTACTAGTACTTACCGTCTTACAAGAGAAGTCCGCATCTTGGTACTTCCTATTAAAACTAAGTTAAGCTTCGATTGAAGAACATGTTAGAAAACCTTGCATAGGGTACAAATTAGCAAGCTAATATGCTCTTAGGGTAAAATATGTCCCATTAATGTTTCAGTACATGTACTTTTAAACTTCTATATATATATTTCTCTTACACGGCGACAAAAAAAAGCCTCATTACGGATCCCCGAATGGCAACGCTAGAAAATCGACCAATGATTGCTGCTAAAAATGTCACATGCCAAATCTAGCTCATGTGGCTCAACATATAGGGCTTTTAAAAACGGAAGCTGAAATAACCAGAGAGAGCATTTTCACCAAATGTGAAGATTTAACGAATTACATGTCATTTATTTGAATTCAAATTTATTTTAATGACTTAGTATTTACTAAAAAGATGTAATTTTTGTTTTAAAAAAAATGTTGTTATATGGATTTGAATTCTTAGAATTTTGTGCATTTGCAATGCACCTAAGTTAGTAGCGAGTGAAGTGAGCTTGTTTTGCGAAGCAAACCATATAAGATTGCGTAGAAATTTTCGGGGGTTGGCGAGCGTTAGCAAGCAGGGGGCGCAGCCCACTAGTAACAAAAACATCTAAGCTTTTGTGTAATGGTCAGACTCTCACCAGATAGATTCCGAGTTAAAATTCCAGTTGAGATGGTTGAATTTTACCACCAATTTTCTTTTCTGATAAAAGATTGATAGCAATATATTAGGTTTTATTCAATTTCTAATTTATTATTTTTTGATTTAATTCAATTTGTTTTTTTTAAAATGAAATTTTTAATAACAGAAAATTAATGGATTTTTATTTTTACATATAATGTAAGAATTATTTAAGAAAAATACAAAATTTTAATTCGCATTTTAAATTTATTTGAAATCTTGAAGTCTGTTAGTTTAAAGGTAAATGAACTGAAACTTTGATGATGCATATCATATTCAAGGAGGATATTAAGTGGCTAATTTGTACCTATCCAAGGTTTATATACATGCTCTTTAATTTAAGCTTAAATTTGCTTCAATAGAAATTTTTGAGATGTGTACTTTCTTTGTTAGAGTTTAGATTAATTTAGAAAAGAATGAATTATGCACAAATGTAGGAATAATGCTTGTAAGAAGTTAATTGTAAACTGAATATTTAATAAATTCTTATTTTCAATTCATGTATAGAAAATTATTTTACCAGTGGTTTTTGACATTTAAATTTGATACTATCATGAAGAGAAAATACCTGTTCTCTTTTCTATGTACTGTTGGAAGCTTGCATTGCTGGCAAGCAACTTGGTGAAAGAAAGTATGCTTGGATTAAGTTCATAGACATTTGTTGCTGAGTAGTGTTCTTGTAAATTGTTTCCAACAGGTAAATTAGCAGCAAGAGGAATCTAAAGTTATTTTTGAAAAAAAATTCAAAAGTAGAGAAAACAAGGAAAAAATTACTGAACAATGAAAAAAGGAAAAAAGAAAAATGAAAATAATAAAAATAATTAAAGTCAGAAAAAATATATCCGAAAAAAAGGAAAAAATTTATGAAAATCCGGAAAATAAAATATATAATCTTTTCATCAGCTCACACGATAATATCCGCAAAAGGTGTGCTTCTTGATATTGTATCAATATAACCAAAGAAAAATTTATCAATACCATAGTGTGAGGAGCACTAAAAAAATTCCAAAAAAATGCACAATAAATAAAATAAAATAAAATAAAATTGTTTTTCTTAAATTCCTTTTTTTTAATATGCTGTATATATATATATATATATATATATATATATAGTTAGTCACAACGCTTTATAATTTTAGCAGCAAGTAACATCCCTCGCGGTAGCTTTTAAATTTCCATATTGTTTTCTTTATTTTATTTTAAAGAAGCANTATATAAATATAAAGAAAACAAGAAAAAAATATTTTATAGAGGAGAAACAAAATTAATAATGAATTAAATGTTTCTCTTTTAAATATATTAAAAATAACGGAAAACAAAATAAGGAAAATATATGTAGTCGTCAGCTCACACGATTATCCTCACACGCAAAATAGCATATATATATATTCTAACCTAACCTTTGTACCTACATTAACCGTCCATCTAAATAAACTTTTGCCATCAAACTAAACAGTACATTCTGAAAAAATAAATAAATATCTTAATCTGAAGGATCTAAATGAAAAAAAAAAAAAACTATCTTACGCCATGCTTTTCAAGTTCGTCCTTTGGTCCTACACCTGAAAGCATTAGTATCTGAGCTGAATTGACAGTACCTGCAGACAATATGATTTCTTTCCTTGCCTTTATTTCATATAATGTTCCATTCACGTCAAATTTTACACCAACAGCTTGTCCATTTCTAATTATGATCTAAATTTAAAGAGCACAAATTTAGTAGGGGCACCTCACAAATTTAGATAGTTTCTCAGTGACTATTGCAATAAGTAAAACTTATTGCAAATCTACAAGTACACTGCAAAAAATTCAAGTCAAATTACGGTATAAAGTACGGACACTTTAGATGCATCATCCGTAAAATCCAATTTACATAAAAGCCATATTACCGTGAAATCCATATTTACCGTTAAATATTATACCGTCATTTCTAGCAGGAATATTTATTTATCTAGAGTCATACGGTGATTTTTCTATAATTATTACTGTAAAAATTGCAGAATATCAAATTTTTTGTAGCGTAACATGTTCTGGAAGAAATGGATTTTGCAGAAAACAGTATCGGCACCCTGAGTGTCGGTACTTTTTACCGTAATTTAATCTGGAATTTTTTGCTGTGAAACAGAACTAGTTACCATGCATTTTAAAATACATTTTTAGAAATATTGATTCAACAATGTAAAATATTGCGAGAAAATTTGCTGTTATAAGGTGTTAAATTGAACTATGTTTTCGGTTATGTTGAACAATATCATTGTTAATACAATATCATGGTTAAACTATGAAGAATGAAAACGCAAAATGCCACTCTAAATTAAAATTGTAGCTAGTTTGAATGATATTAAGATAACCATGCTCCGAAATTTTTCCAAAGTAAAATTGCAACGAATTCGGCCAAAATATTATAGTTCAACGCGAATCAATATTTTTAATAATATGCACTGTCAGGTCATTTTAAGAATGAATTCTAGAAAAGCTAACAAAGACAAAAATAATAATTAAATAATGAAACATGCAGCGCAATTCGTGATTGCAACGCTTGAATACGCCCTCTAGCGGAGAGTTTATTTTCAGACTTTTATTTATTAAGTTTTCATTTAGTTCTATCAGAATCATGGTCAGAGTAGGACACCATTTTTTAGCAAATAAGTAAAATTTCCCAAAGGAAAAAGCTTAAGAACCTGAAAAAACGACGCAGCACATTGATAAATCTTTCTGAAACCAAACGAGCCCAACATTTGTAGAAATTTCTCAATAATTTTTACTTTTATATTATCGACAAACTTGCAGCCGATAACTTCCGATTTTATGATCGTATACTGTTACAGATGTGTGTATTACTGTAAAATACATTTCTTTTGTCTTCAATTCATTACAAATTAAATTTAAGTCAATATTGCTTACTTTATTCCAATGAATAAACGTGATGTTAGAACGGGCAGAACTGTGATAGTTATAGAATATTCTTCTTTATAGGATAGTACATATTTTTGTATCTATATAATTAAAAAAACAACAGTAAGGAATCATCCGAATTGCTTAGATTTAGACTTAGAGGTTGGGCAGCTCTAACGAGCAGGGCACATCCGCGAGAGATCTATTGTACCCAAACCCTAAATCATGATTAGCATGAAAGCCCTATAGCTGAAATAAAATTCAGCTGACACCTTCCAGGAACATCTTGCAGTTCCCAGGCAATGACGCAATGTTGCCCTAAATGCTCAAATCTTTAGGCAGAATAGAACTCACTATCACAGAGTATGTGTCATGATGTCTCTTCATCAAGATGACAACCCCGACAAAGAGAATTGGATTCTATTCCCATTAAGTATGGATGTCTCCTAAGGATGCAGTGTCCAGTAAGAAGAACAATGATCTTCCTTAAACTGTTTCTATTAAGCTTTAAAAGCTATTTTTGACGTACACTAGGACAGTCATTATTTAACTACTTAGATTTGTCTCTGACCGTCAGCAGCGCGCCATTGCTCATGAGCAATTTTGTCATAGAGCTTGAATATGGATTCCCTAAATTAGGTGAGAGAAATTCCTAGTGCAGGTTCAGGGCCCCAGAAAATTGCATTAGAGCCAGCTCGTGCCGCTTCATCAGCAAGCTCATTTCCACCGATACCCATATGTACAGGTACCCAATGCAGGGATACCCTGTTATGAGTGGATAGGTCACAGAGGACCGAGAAGCATTCCCACACTAACAAAGATGTGAATTTACACCTTGACAGTAATAGGAGAGCAGCCTGACTGTCAGAACAGATGCGGATAGTCCTATTTTGATATCCTCTAAGCATATCTTGCAGCACAAGATAAAGGCATAGATCCGAATTGCTTGAAGTAGTATCATTTGTGTTGACTATTAATAAATTTTTATCGTTTTCTCGGTGAATATTTTTTTTAAAATTTTGAATGAATAATTTCAATTAGAATTCAGCTATTCTGTTAAGTTACACATTGAAATCCACATCGAGATCTTACAATAATAAAATTTTGGGGTGTGGTCTGTCATCTAAAAGTAATGAAGAGGTAATCTATGTATATATTGTTTGAGAATAAAATTTTCAAACAAAGAACATTTCATTTGGAATTCTCGGGTAAAGCAAGTAAGTTTTATTATTTTTTTAATAAAAAATTTACTTGTAAATATTTTTTTTCTAATTTGATTCTATTTTGATTTTTTTGATTTCATTTGATTTTGATTTTGATTTGATTTTGATTTGATTTTGATTTTGATTTAATTTGATTTTGTTTTGATTTGATTTTTTCTAATTTGATTTTTTCTAGTAGTTCTCTACAGCATGATTTTTACGTCTGATTAATACGAATTTTAAGACTAAAAAAAAGAAACAATATGAACGTTTGCTTTCAATATGAAGAATTTTTAGAATTGTTTTTTTTTTTTAATTTTTTTCATCGTAAGCATTCTTAACTTTACGTTTTTTAGTTCATAGTTTTTTGAGAAAAATTGTTGTCAAAAACTTTTTTGCAAAATTAAACGGTATAGCATTATGTGTTTCTGTATACATTTTGCATATTTTAATGCTTGAAGTAATATGATTCAGAAAAGTATTGAATGTAAAGTTTAAATAGACCTTTCATATTAGATCATTAAATTTAGTAGAACGATTTCTCAGGCACTAGGTTTTAACTCTAATAATTAGATGTTTTACAAACATTTTCCGATGTGTTTTGAATGTTTATTCCCTGAAAAAAGAGATTCAATGTTGTTTCACCTTGTATAAGAAAGGAAATCAAACATTCTTCTCTTTTTAATTTAGCAATTCACAATAAAGGAGGGACGTTACCATGTTGCACTGAGGAAATCTCCAGTGCAACTGATAATCGTGTTGTTCTGCTAGCACACATTCCTCTAAGAAAACAGCGCCCTCTATGGGTAGTTGCTTTCGCGAATATGAATTTTATTTTTATTTTATTACAATTTTACTTCTATTTTTTAAATTTTTAAGAACAGAACGTTGTCAGTGAATTGCCGAGAGGCTTGAATCTAGATTATCAGAATCACCAATAATTGAATTAAAAAATTCAATTTTTGCAATTGGAAATATATACCATTAAAAAATATATTCTTTTATTAAACCACAGTAATTATATCCAAAAACAACTTACAATCCTTTCAAAACCAACGCTAGTCTCGTTCTGTTCTTAAAATTTTAATTTCAAAATGAAAATTCAATCACTACGTTTTTAATATTGTGTTGCATGCCTCATTATTTAATTATTTTTCTTGTTTTTGTCAGCCTTGCCAGATTTTATCCTTAAGAAGTTCTGACATACACCTCAAAATTAAATACAGCTTCCGATACTGTTTAAAAACAAATTCGTTAGAAATGAAGATTTGACTAAACTTACCATTTTTCTTCTGTTGGTAAAAAGTTATTAATTAGTTTTGGGAATAAATTGATTTACTTTATAAACGAAGGCATTTGGCAGAATATCTAAATTAGTTCGATTTTCAGCTGGCACCAATTAAGCCTTAGCGGCGCTACATCTTTGCCCATTTCGTAGATCACCTTGAGGAATGTAAATACCTTTAAGACATTAAAAAAAAACAAATATAATTCATTTATTAATGAAAAAATATAATTTTTTAATTTGACAGATACCTTAGAATGTTTAAGTATCTCAAATTGCCTCTTTAGATACTTTTCCCTATTAACGAACAATTTCCAATGTAATGCCACTAGACTTAATGTATTCAATATTCATTAGCAATATCCCAGAGAAATCATTGGCGACTAAACGCGACTAATTGCTACTGAAATCAGGGTAAGTAGACTATGGAAATTTTTTTTCCTTCAAAAGCTGATCGGAAGCGACTATTTAATGAAATCTGACTACTGATTTTATAGAATAAGTGACTATATAAAAAAAATGTATGGTTGTTAAGCTGGAAAGTCATGAAAAATCCAATTATTTAATTCGTAATTAGACAAACCACGTGCAAATGACCAAATAAATTAGGGTAAAATATAAAAAACTATGATAAATAAATAAGAAAAAAGCAATCAGGATCGAAACAGTCTCCAACAGAGCGTATCAAAAAGGGACTATTCAAATTCCAAATTGGTAATTATATGGAACCATCAGCATTTGAAAAATCACGGGAAAATTTTTGAAGACCGAGGACTATTCACGTGACTTGATGCACTTAATTCGCACGATGGAATCGCTGCGAATTAAGTGCATTTAAAAGTGATAAATTCAAAATCACCTTTATAAATCACTTACATAACATCGTATTAAAAATGTAAGAACTTGAAAAAAAAACCTGGCCGAATAATAATTACCGAAATAATATCGATAGATAAATAACTACTGAATAGATAGAATAGAAAACGGTGGGGATATAAGATTGAATTTCTACAACAAAAATGAGATCTCAAGTCTGACATTTCTACTTTTAAAAGCCATGCAAAAATGACTGAAAACGACGTTGATTTAATATACAGAGAATGATTGCGAATCAAGTTCATCAGAAAGTGATTACTCGTAAAAGCAAAATTCGTGTCTTTTGATATAATCTTACAAAAAAATATAAATAAGTAAAAAATTAAAATATAAAAATTCGAATTGCCATTCTGAAACGTCTAAAACAAAAGCAATCAAAATGCCACGCCGATTTATGAGGAAATTAGCTTAAACAGAGCCTTTTTTAAATTTATCATTCATTAACATAAGACCTTATATCAGTGCATATATTCAGAATTATACGGCATACAGGCTGGAAGGAACTTTTTAATTCAAAGGGCGAGCTTTTCTATGCATTCATATATATATANTATATATATATATATATATATATATATATATATATATATATATATATATATATATATATATATATATATATATATATATATATATATATATATATATATATATATATATATATATATATATATATATATATATATATATATATATATATATATATATATATATATATATATATATATATATATATATATATATATATATATATATATATATATATATATATATATATATATATATATATATATATATATATATATATATATATATATATATATATATATATATATATATATATATATATATATATATATATATATATATATATATATATATATATATATATATATATATATATATATATATATATATATATATATATATATATATATATATATATATATATATATATATATATATATATATATATATATATATATATATATATATATATATATATATATATATATATATATATATATATATATATATATATATATATATATATATATATATATATATATATATATATATATATATATATATATATATATATATATATATATATATATATATATATATATATATATATATATATATATATATATATATATATATATATATATATATATATATATATATATATATATATATATATATATATATATATATATATATATATATATATATATATATATATATATATATATATATATATATATATATATATATATATATATATATATATATATATATATATATATATATATATATATATATATATATATATATATATATATATATATATATATATATATATATATATATATATATATATATATATATATATATATATATATATATATATATATATATATATATATATATATATATATATATATATATATATATATATATATATATATATATATATATATATATATATATATATATATATATATATATATATATATATATATATATATATATATATATATATATATATATATATATATATATATATATATATATATATATATATATATATATAGATATATATATATATATATATATATATATATATATATAAATGGGTGTGTGTGTAGAACATTGTCAGCCCTCTGAAATCATCGTAATTACTAAAATTTCAGCAAATTTCAGTACTCATTTTCAACTGCTTCATAAAATATTTTGCAGTAAGAAGAGCAGTTGCCATTCCCGTATAGGAAACTATTTAGTCTACTACTTTAAGGCCAGGGGAGCTACTAATACAACTATTTTGGAATGCCATCTTCAGTAGATGTACCGTTTAACTTTCTTAGTCTAATTTCTAAAATATGAATTTATTACCTATCATTTTGCTTCCACAGTGACTCTCCAAATATATCTTATAACAGAAATTCCTCTTGAAATTTTGCAATAGTTTCCATATTTCAATATTTGCTATTTGAAACATACTAAACCCGATACAAATTGTATTAAGGACAGCAGTAACAATACTAAGCCAAAAAAGTTATGCATAAATATTCAGATTGATGAACTATAGTTACTTTGAAATGCTTGCAGCGTTTTATAATATACACCAGAAAATATACAAAGTTAGAAGAAAGAAAGGGACCGTTGATTAATATCCAGGGCTACTAAGGGAATTAAAAAATGCATTTTAAAGCAATTAGAAAATCGATTTACTAAAAAAAATTTTTACGATGAAATATTAAAATTTTTCATTGGAATTTTAAAAAAGAAATTTTTTTTTTTGATAACTGGTATATTTTTTATTGTGAAATACAGTTAAAATAAATGTCTTTAATGATATAAAGTTCGAAAACTAACGTTTGTAAGTTTCAAATTGAAATCAAGTGTAAACAAATTTCTGCTCAATTCTACACTTTGAATACCTTCATTATATCCTATGGTTAATCCTAAATTGATTTACCTGTTTGCTTAGGTCCATTAGAATCGTGTATTCTGTATCCCAATTCTCTTACACCTTTGATAATTTTAGAACTTAGTTTTGATTTATAAGGAATGCTTTGTACAGTTATTGGACCACTTGTTCCATGGTATCCTAAAAAGTACAAAACCTTACATTCATTTTATTCTTAATAATAGACACGAGAAAAAATTATGTAAACAGTACATTAAGTATATTAGAGCTAAAATGGTTTTAAAATATTTTTTGATGCCCAGATAATAATAGGATATACTTAGTGCTATTCACGAAGAAAAGCTAAAATATGGGAACAAAGTACAAATTACCACTTAAATGTTTTATTTTTCTGTCATATTATGACCAAAAAATAATCAAATTTTAAACGATTTTTTATTCGAACTCATTATAGGAATTCATATTCGCAGTTTATTTTTGATAATTTTTAATTATGGCTTAAAATAAGGCATTTTTTCCTTAAGTTTACTCTTTTTTTCTGAAGAAATTATGGAAGTGGAGGGAACATTTTACCTGGAATAAATGTGAAGGAAAGCAAGTGTATTTTAAATACTCACATATTTATTACGTTTCAAAATCCAGCATTGGTACGGTTTATTTTAAAACATGGAGATATCAGGGTTATAATATGCTATGAGCACTTACTGTCACCCATTCTTCATTTATTCATGAAAAAGAATTGGGAAAAGTATTACTTACAAATCGTAATTCACTGAACAAGTGCAAACTATCTCTCTCAAATTCGACGACTAAAAAAAGTTACGAGCTTGTTCTTGAAATACCTATACAATTTCATGGTTTCTGGATAACTATAGACACTGCAAAATAAGAAAATGTGAAAAAAGGCGAGCAAATCAGTAGACTGGTGTAAGAAAATACGTTGCCCAAACGGTGTAGCACCCGAACGGTGTTTGATCATAACAGTTTAAAAAATTAATGGCACAAAAATGGACAAACAATAGTTTTGCTTCCATAAATAAGAACATTCCTCACGGTCAAAGCACAAAAAATGACAAGTTTGAAATTTTTGGGTTTTGACATTGACGAAAGTTCTTATTTATGCAACCGAATCTATAGTAGGTCCATTTTTGTGACATTATCTGCACTTGATTCACTTTGTTTATATTTCTTTCAAATTTTTGATTATTTACACACATAGCAAGAAATTAGTTAAAGGAATAAAATCAGAAAATATTTTTATGCCATTTTTTTGCTTATGGTATACGCTGTAAATATTTCAATTATTTTTCAGGACTAACATACAACTGGTACATGTTTCCGATTCAAAGTATCCACTTTAATATTTTTTCAATGCACTTTGCTGTGATTTTTGTACTTTATTCATTTGGAAAAAAATATTAAGTGAACTTTTTCTACAAAAAAATACAACTACAACAATAAGTATAAAATTAATATGAAGTTTTAGGAAATGAATTTAGATCTCAAGCTATATTGGTGTAATAAATATCTAATCAAAATGGTTAAGTCTTAAAATACTAGAAGCACTGAATGGGGAAATAAAAATATACAATTATGACATAGGGAACTGTTTTTCAAAGTTCAATTTCAATTGAAAAATCTTTCATATCATTTAATCATTTCGCTTTGAGTATATTTTTTAATATTTAATTTTTTTATACAATAAATAAAATAATTCAAAGCCAATTAACTTGAAACTTTAACTTTTGGGACATTTAGTTCACTTTTAGGACGTTCAGATAACTTATAGGAGTTAAGTGAACAGTAACTCTAATTGAACATGTTTTGAAGTCACACTTGTTGAATCAAAGATGGCTTGTTAAATCAATAAAAAAAGACTTTTATTTCGTTTCGGTATTTTTCTTCATATATTGCTTTTACAAACAACAAATAAAGAAATATTTTAAGCCAGTTAAGTTGAAAAAGAGGGAATTAAATAATTTAGGAATTCGATAAACAATGTAACATTTTTGTGCGAACTTGTGAAATGTTATTGGACTATTTTAAGGATTATTACTATTTATACCATATTTCTATTTTTAAGGAAATAAGGCAATTTAAATAGATGAAAAGCTTTTGAATTGTTTAATATTACTACTTTGTATGTTTTTTTATTATTTACTTTTGTCACATAATATATAAAGGAGTGAAATTGGCATGAAGATAATATTGTTTTCAATGTCTTAAACTGAGCTAGTTTCTTGCTGATATGTTGAATTTTTTTGAACTGTTTTTGGCAGAGATCTCTGCTTAGATCGAATGTTCATATTCGAGCTTTCTTCCTTTATAAATATTTTAAATACTTTTATTTAGACATTTTAGGAAAATTTAGTTACTAAAATTTTGTACTTCCTATGAGTACTACCTAATTTTCAACTTACCAATAGTATGAATGCGGCTGGCTAGGAATTTCTATATTAAATCCTTTGTAAAATAATTATGTAAAAAAACGATTAGTTAAAAAATTGTAACTGATTTATATACTTAGTGAAGGATTTTCCATCTGAAAATTATATCTGAGAAAAATACTTTTTTTTCGTATTTCGATAATTAAGACGCTGAGGCAGAAAAAGATTTTTATTTTTTTCATTCTTATTTGCGCTTTTTTATGATATTTTTTGTTCTCAAAATTAAGTTTTCAATCAGAATTACAACAAATTGCCGCCTGAAAATTTTTTTTTTAAGTAATTGAAAATTTGCTCGCTTTTTTACAATTAAAAGATAAGATTTCATTTTTACCAACGCTTTTTCAATATAAGACAGTTAAATTGCTTTGAAACAAATCCAAAATTGTGATATTTTTTAGAATTTATTGCGTTTATTATTTCAAAGGAAGTCGTATTTCACCAATACTTTTTCTAAATTAAAAAGAAGCAGCTAAGCTGTAGTTGAATTTGGCAAAATAATAATGATTTTAAGAGTATTTTCTCTTTAGCTATTCATCTTCGACCTTAGCATAATTCTACGATTTCAGTTTTGTCTTTGTTTTAACAATTTATATGAAATTATTTTTAATTCTTTTTAGAAATGTTAAAAAAAATTACAATAGCAGCATAATACAATAGCTGTATAAAAAATAAATCTTTACAGAATAAATTTTTGAGAAGACGGGTTAAAAAACATCATACTCTATTCGATAGAAATTTAATTTCACGTTTAATTGTTCATAGACGCTTTAAATAGCATTATAACAAAATGACAAATAAAGCAATGAATTTCCAAAAAAACCATCCTTTTACCGTTTTTAGCATATTTTGGATCAGTATTATTTTCCATTTTTTTGAAATAGGGAAGTATTTCCTCATAGCTCCAGCCTTTTGCACCTTGTCTTTCCCATTCATTGTAGTTATTTTTATTTCCTCGAACATACATTCCATTATTCAACAAACTTGACCCTCCAAGTCCTTTTCCACTTGGCCAAACAATTTGCTGAAAATATTATAAATATGTGCTTAGAGTTAACATCAAAGAAATGAACAATTTGCCGATAGAAAGCCTTTAAAGTATGGAAACAGAGAGAGCTCTTTTTTATTTAGTTTGTGACAATTCCGCTTAGGTTTCCTTTCATAAAGATTAAAGATAGTTCAAATGTTGTGGAAACCTGTAAATAAGAAAAAAGTTCTACTCTGCTAAAATTTGTCCATGTTTTTTAAAATAGTGATAAAATTAGTGATATTGATATAAGTGATAAAGATAGTGATATTTTATTAATTCATTAAAAATAAAAATTGTGCAAAATTAATAGTTATAAAAATTAATAAAAAAATTTTTTATTTAAAATCTTTTTATAAAAGAAAAATGATTAAGGATGCATTTTAGGAATATCATTAGTATTTTAAGTTTTAAAAATCTCTAACTTTGGTTTAAGTTGTTTTAGTATAGGATGTTTCCTTTCTGAAATTTATCTTACATACATATTTTTTAATTAATATTACATCCATGTGAAAATTAATATTATATCCATATAACAATTAATACTATCATAATTACTACCATTAAAATTGACCATCTATATTTTGAGAACACATACCCTATTTTTAAGATTTGTTCCAGCATACTTTTGAGGAACTGTTTTATATGCCCAGTCTAAATCAGAAAACCAGAAGTTCAGCCCATAGGGTGGTAGTTCATTTAGAATTGGTGCTTCTCTTCCAGCTTCTAATAACAATATGCTTATGCTTTGTATTTCCGAAAGGCGACCAGCGACAGTGGATCCAGCGGATCCAGCTCCAACTTTGAAGAAAAGAGATATAAAGATGGTTATTGCAGCTAAGTGGTATTTCCCTTTCTCCCAGACTAACATTTTAATTTAAAACTCTTTTCTTGAAAGTAAAGCTGATTAAAATACTTGTTTATCCTCTAATTTCACCTATCAAAATACGTGATATTTAAAGCTTTTATAAAAATAGTTTAGAAAAAAAGAAGTTATCATTTTAGTACAGCATTAATTTTCTAGGTAAGTCATTACCAAAGTTCAATCTACAAATTCAAAGACGTAATAAAGTACGTTAAGGGAATAGATCCGTAGTACCATGGCCAAGAAACATGCAAACCACGTTGTGAATTTAAATATCATGAAGAATGAGTGCGCGTTCTGAATAGAGAGTGTACGAAATATAGTGGTGAGTTGAGATTTGTTTAGATGTGCATCAAGAGAACGAATCTGTATAACATGGGATCTCAAACCGCATTGAAAGGCTGATTATCATGAAAAATGTTGCACGTGATAAATCTAGAGGAGATGAAAGATGGTGGTGACTTGAGGTTTGTTTAGACGCACATCAAGAGAACGGATCCGTAGAACATGGGATTGCGAACCACGTTGAGAGGTTGAATATCACATAAGATGCACGTAGGTTCTTAATCTAGAGGAGGCGAAAGGTGGAGACAAGTTGAGGTTTGCCCTACTTAAGTTATGCGTTTGTGCACTTGGCATAACGCTTCATGCATGATAAGAGCCCCACACATTTTGCCTAACAGGCGTGTTTTTACCTTGATGTAACATACCCAAGGAAGTGGATAGTCTTCATGCTTGCCGGATCTCAATCAGTGTGAACTTTTCCTTTAGGATGACCTTAAATCACTTTTTTCTTTTAATACAGACGTGGACGCTTACCTAGGTTTAAAAAACCCTTAACCGTATAGTTCACGTCTGGCTACCAATCCAGCTCAAATAATACATAATTAATTGGATAAAATTTTTTAATGAAATAGAAAAATAAAAATGAATAAAGAAGATTTGGTCTTATCAATATCATGAATACAAAAGTCAGTTAATGGAATGAAGGCCTTAAATCATTAGTTTATGTCACGCCTGTCGCCATTATGATGGTTCTCTTAGCGGCGGTTGTTGTCATTTAGGAATATATCAAATGGCCTACCGGCGTCTTGGAACATTTCTGGAAATCGATTTACATAATTGCAGACAGTGACATTTACAAAAGGCATTTAAAGAGCTCCTTTTTTTTTGTCTTTTTTTGTGTCTTCGTTTTCTGCTGATTCAATTTTGAGTTGACGACTATCAATGTTCAACTTGGTAGCCTTGAAATTATGAACCAAATGCAAAAGACAACTCCTGAATCAAGTATTGGGAGAATTTTGCCTACATGTGGACTATTTGATGGAACTAGCCCTCATTTGGATTACATGGAGCGGAAACAATGAAAAACCTTCCCTGTTAACCAGATGGCAAGGGAATTCTAACCCACGATTCGTCGAACACTTAGGATATTTTACGTCAACATTATGGTCGGTGCGAGCTGGATGCGGAATTCATATCTACCAGTTATCGGTGTGATTCGAACCCCAGACACCTCATTAGGAGGTGAGTGCTCTATCCCCCGAGCCACCGTGACTATTTAGAGAAGGCTTGTAATAATTATTCATATAAATATTTTTTTGTTTACAAATTATAGTATCAAGTTGTAGAATCTTTTGTACTCATTTTCCCGCGTGCAGTCTACACCGTTTTCTTTTTCATACTTATTATCCTCTCATAATGGCATGCAGCCCCATGCTCTATGGATTCATCCTGTTTATGTCTCTTATCACCATCCTGCTAATTTTGCTTGACTTTTGGAACATCCTGTATTTTTTTAATACTTATAGACAATGATTTCTTTTGCTGCAATACTTCAGAAACAACAACCTAATTAATTGGTCTGGGCGTAAATCCTGATTTCCTCATTATACGAACCGAATGTATACGTATGTAGCAAATGCAGTTATAATGAAAGTTTGAGCACTTTTAATTTTTCATAATTAAATTGAGAGAGAATGACAGAATGTTTGCTTTAATTATATACAATTATATACAGTGTATAAAGTAAATCAATCATTTTTCAAAATTGTAGTAGATTAGATGTGATCAAATGTCCTTTATAAATATAAGATAAAATAATCCAGTAATATTTAAAATAACTAATAAATTGATCAATTGCAAATTTTCATACTTATGATATAATCGTATTCCTTTTTAATACAATCCGGAGTCTTAAGTGTTGAAGGCGAATTCTTTTGAGATGCTAAAGACATAAGCATTAACGGAAGAAGAGCAGAGTGAGCAAGTGGCGTAGGATAAGAATTTTCTCGAGCTAGGTCAAACATTCTGAAGACTTCATAAAGTAGTGATCTGTTTATAGATAATATATTTAAATTGAATAATGACAGTTATAAAAACTTGATGTCACATCTCAGCAAAAAACTTTTCGCATCTAGATCATTAATATTATTATAAGTATAAAAGTATAAGTAATAATAGTTCATTGTTATAATAGTTTAAAGCAATATTTAATATTTTAAGCACGAATATTATAATCATTAATACAATAATTAAAAATTAACATAAAAATTTTAAATGTCTTAGACAATCTATGTTAACATTTAGAGTGATGATATTTCACATTATCTTTAAAAAACTATCTAAAAAAAAAGAAACTGTTCACATTAATTTTCGCAAATATTAGTTAAGTATTGAAGTCAAAAAGAGCAAATCAGGGAATAAAATCTTTAAAACCTGCTTAGTTATCTATAGAGACAAGAATGCGTTTTGTTAAGGAACTTCTTAAATTCATATTCTCAAATTTTTTTAAAAATCATTTCAATCACACAGGAAAACAAATTTTTGCTGCATTTATACAAACATTTGCCTAATTCGGTGTAGGGATTTCGAATCAGAAGTTAGTTTTGCTCCTAAAGCAACTGAATTTTTCTTTAAAATGACATTGCTAGTCTATTTGTTTGTTGAAATGTACACGTTTAAAAACACTATATCAACGAAGCACTCGAAGATGCAGTATTTAGGGAAGCATTCCTAGTGGCGTATGACGACGTTACCGGGCACGGATTGTTCTGCAGTTGTAATCCTGATGATGCGCCATCATTCTCCTAGACGTTTGTTGCAACATATATTCGGTCACTTGTTACATATAACGTTTTGAAACTTGTACAATTCAACCAAAAATTGACTAAAAGAATCATGCTGATGTAAGATTTTAATTTCGCGATACAAAAGTATATAAGATCTGTTAAAAGCATCTTCTGAAACAGAAATAAAAATTATTTCCTAGCGTAATCTTTTGCTCAATACACCAATCTTAATTGTGGCTGGTCAGGGTTTGAAACAAGTTTTTGCTTTATCTTACTTAAGCAATAATTTGGGATACTTTACTTTTTCTGACGTCAGGAATGTTAGAGCGCTTCGAAACATAATCGCGTTCAATTTATTGCAAACTAAATAATAAGCTAAGCAATATTATGGTGCTAACTTATTCCTTTGATACTAGGATGCAAGTTTAACTGAAACACTGTTCAATTTAGTACTTTGTTAAGGTTGCAGAGAAAACCGTATTATGGTTCAAGAGAACAATCCGATGGTTTCCGAGAGTTTTGAAGTATTCTTAATATAATAACAGAACAACTTATATTAAAAAAGTATTTTCATGTCTATAGTTACAAATCATTCAATGCAAATATGAGATATTTGATTCTAATTGGCTCTAAAATTGATCTGAATGTCAAAAGATTCAATATTAATTTCATGGAAAAATAATTTGTGTGAAATTTGTTAAATTGCTTGCAAATTACAATCGTCATTAAAAGTCTCATTGAAATATTGTGCAGTTGTTACATGTTAACAACTTTCGATATGATATTATTAATTTAATAATTAGTAAACTAAATATAAAAATTAAAGGTATCTATCTATATCTATATCTATCTATCTATCTATCTATCTATCTATATATATATATATAAATGCTACAACCAATGTATTAAATGCCATCATTGTATACATTGCTTGGCATTCTTAAGCACGTTATGAAATGAACCTAAACAGACTGGTCAGTAAGACCATATTAATATTATATCTATGTTACAGCTAACGTATTGAATGACATCATTGTATATAATGTTGGCATTCTTAAGCAAGTTATGAAATGGACTTAAGCAGACTGGTCAATAAAGCCATATTAATAAAATGTATATGTTATAAGTAATGTATTAAATGCCATATTATATATAATTCCTGATGTTCTNGTTGTCACATCACATCAAATTTTATTTTAAAATGAAAAGTAGATAAAATGGTCTAAATGCATTACAAAAAACAAATTATGAAGTGATATTACGGGAAACATAGAAAGCTTAAAAAAGTGATATAGTTTGAAAAAATATTTAATATGAAATATTTATATATTTCATATTAAATATATATATAAGTATAAAAAATTAAATATTTGACAATATTAAATTTTTTTACTTTATGTCTACTTCAGTTTTTTTTTTCAATATTTGTTAAAAAATGTTGAATAAAGATAAATGATTTAAGGTTAATCAAATTAATCGTATATATCATATGATTTTTAGCATAGACTTTATCGACTTACCCACACTAGACTGTGTAAAATAGTTACAATTTATATGGGTACTTTAACCCAAATAGTTCAGAAAAGTTTTCTTTTAATTTAGAGGTGCAGTCAATTCTAGTACATTAAACGTTAATACGAAATAGTTATTTCAATCTACGAGTCATTAGCTTATAAATTAAATGCTTCTGTAAGTATGAGGAATCAGCTTGACTGAATAAATGCATGGATTAGATCTCAAAACCTGAAAAAACACGTATTTTCGTAAAGTGGAGCTTCCACTTTTTATAATACTTGACAGAAACATGGAATAAATAACATTTATTCTCTATATCCGATGAACTATTATATTTTCATTACTTATTTCGATTAGGTAAGGTATATTTTCATGCATTTCGGCTTATGAATACTCACCATAGCCTGATACAACATTTTTTCTTCTAGTAATGCTTTCTTTAGAATTGGAAATAAAATTTGGAATCCGTTAAAAGAAATGACTAATGAGGAAAATGATTTTTTTTCAGCACCAAAAACATTAAATTATTCAAAATTTGCAAATAATGTACGTTAAAATTAAATAAACTTAAACCTTACATGCGTATATCCAAACTTTTCAACAAAGACTTCGTAAAAAATCTTTACAAAATAAGTGATTAACTAGACTTATTTAATACACCTTAAATACTCTATTAAAATCATTTCTTACATTTACAATTCAT